AATGTTGGACATCTAGACACAGGTGTGTGGCTTGAGAGGGACAATGCTGGCTGCCCACCGACTGTTCTTCAAACCCAGAGCCTAGGGTGGTTCTGGATTAATAATCCCCCCTCACAACTCCCTGCATTTCATCCATCACTACTTCCAACAGACTGCAGCAATGTCTCAAAGTACCGCCCACAGTGGTGTGGCTCCATGCCCCCCAAGCAGCCAAGTCTGCCCCATCTCTCATGAGAATGCTGGGACAGGATTGTGGAGCTGTCCCTGACTTGCTTCCCTGTCTCTTTTGTCTTAGTCCCCCTTACACTCCACTACCAGAGGGATTCAGACTCCATTATGGCCATTCACTGCTTAAAACTTCCCTTGCTTCCTCCCTTTGCTTTTAAGGTGAAGTCCAATTTGTTGGCATGGGTTTCAACGATCACCATTATCTGCACCCAAACTGACACTTATGTCTGATCTCTCTCATGCTCTTTTGGAAATTCTAAGTCCCCCCTCCGTACCAACACTGGGTTTCTGTTCCTCAAACATGCTCTGGATTTAATTGCCTTTGCCCAGGCTGAGCCTCTGCATGGGATGTTCTCCCTATTTACACCTGGGAACTGTCCTACAACTTTCAAGATCTGGATCAAACAAGCCTTGAATGTGAAACCATTCCTGAGCCCGTCCCGCTGGGGTCCCGGCACACCATACCTCCCTCATTTCTGGTCTCATCATCCACTTTGTTGCGTGTTTATGTGCTCATGAGCTCCTCCAGGGCAGAGGCCGTGTCTGTTTCATGTCTGCATCCCTCCTGCCCAACCCCCATGCTCAATAAATGTTTGATGAGTGACTGAAGGAAAGAATGTTCATCATCAGAAAATGGCTCACCAGAGCCCTGTACATCAGCATTGCCAAGAGATGTTTTCATCAAATGTGGTTGCTCAGTGTCAGTATCAAACACTGTCCTGATTCATTCCGAGCATCAGAAATTCAGAAGAGCTTGCAGGGGATAGAAGAAAGGCATTTTATTTGTTAAACAGAAAATCAGGGTATGAGATGGAACACTAAGATATGCAAATGCCTGTCTTCTTTGTGGGAGAAACTGGGAGAATTTCACTAGATTATTTTGAAATTAATCCAGCCTGAGTGTCTGTGGAGTTTAAATGCAGCCCTCAGGAGAGTAAATAATGCAGAATGTGAAACCGGAAAAGAGATTTGAGACGCACCAGTAAAAGCTTCTTTCAGCCCAACTTCTGCACCAGATCATTCTCCTTGGTAGGATCTCTATGTAATTTGCAAAGATTAAAACCTGTTGCAAGAGAATTAGCCCAAGCACATGATTTAATCATGTAAGAGGCTTCCAGCCTCCTCTGGCCTTGTCAACAGTAGTTCCTAACCAATGAGGGCTTGCGGACAGAATCCAGGTTGCTTGATAAATATCAATTATTTTGCATTAAACAGAAATTTCACATACATTAATCTTAAATATCAAGCGAGAGGGCCGCTCTGGGTTTGCAAATTAAGGATTTAAAAATATGGTTTCCAAATGGTTCTTCTTGGGAGAAGGATCAAAGATGTGACTGCCAAAGCACCCTGGGAGTTTAACTGGATATATGTGTAAGTGGCTGAAAACTGCCCAGGCTCCAGGGTTCCACATCCAAAACACTGCCTGCTTTGTTGGTCACCATGTCCTTTCAAGTAGGAGTCACGTGGGGCTGCCCGTTCAAGGCCATGCACTCAGATGAGGAAAGGAAAGTGCTGGATTTGGGGGTGTCTTTGCCTCGAGGATGCCTATTTTAGGGGTATGTTCCTTTCTCTGCCCCAGTCAGGGGTGGACAGAGGAGATGAGGGCCAGGCAGGGGCATCAAGACCTCTGGATCTGGAGATAGAGATGAGTCACCTCAGCCTGAGACCTTCGGGCATGTCCATCTGGGAGGGGTGGAAAAAAGGGCGATGTGCCGGGGCGTGGTTCGGATGCAACCAGCCTATTTGAACTCTAGCTCAGGCTGTGTGATCTTGGCCAGGTGGACTTCATCTCGTTTTGCCATCTTGGAGATGGAGCTGCTTGGCTTATTAATCCCGCACTTCACAAGGCTGGACGCAGTGGGGCTGAGGCTCTACTGAGCTCTGTTTCCCTGGTGATTCCAGAGCTCCTCGGAGGAACAAGGCTTGCAAAGGGGGGCCAGGGAGTTCACTTTAGTTCAAGAGCACACATACCCTGGTGACACAGAGTCCCCAGAGCATCAGGTACCTGCCTGGCTGGGCCCCGACCTCCAGGGGCTATTCCAGAACTGCCTGAAGCTCCTACTCCTTCTCCCGGCCAGTTGAAGCAGCATGCTTGTCCATTAGAGGCCTCCCAGCTACACCTGTCAAGCTGCCCACCCCACACCACCAGAAGATGGGCTCCGAGGGGCAGCCTTAGACCTTGCCCTGAGAGGAGATCTCCGTGGCCAAGCAGGGCCCTCAGGACCCCGAGGTCACTCTTGGAGGAGAGGGAGGAGGGAACGGCTAAATGTTCACACTGCATTTCAGCCTCCTGCTAGCTCTTCTTCCTGCCTCTCTTCCCCTTTTAGAATCTCCCCCTTCCCATTCAGCTCCACAATCTCTGCCACAGGGGCATTCCAAAGCCCAGACCTAAACAGGCCAGTCCCCAGCCGTACATTTTCACTCCCACAGGCCGAGCTGCTCTTGCAGGCCCATCGGCAGCTACCCCGCCCCCACCCCTACCCCTGTGCCCGCCAGGACCCGGCCACACCTGACTCTCCACAGCTCCCTGAACATAGCCGGGGTTGGCGGCTCCACAGCTTTTGTGCCTGCTGTTCCCTCTCACCGGAATGCCCTTCCCAGTTTTCATATGGAGCAAGCTCCTACACATTCTTCAAGGTGAAGTACTGCCTCTTCTGAAAAGCCAGCCGCCTGCTCTGGCTCCCCACCCACCACCTTCCTGCGCGGCTTCCTTCCCAGTTCCCGGCGGGGAAGCTGAGCTCATGGGCCCAGCAGGCCTGGCTGAAGGCAGCAGAGAGCAGCCTGATGGGAGCCTCTGCACAGAGCCTCCGGAGGGACGATCTCCGTTTCACCCCAGCAAAGTCAGCCCCACTCACCTCCATAGGGCCCACGTGTCCCTTCCTCTCTGTTGCCTCCAGGCTGCAGGCCAATGTCGCATCTAGCCTGAGCCGCTCTGGAGAGCACGGAGCATGCATCCGGCCTTCCTCCCTGACCACACACCTCTGGCCCTCTCTTGGCCTCTCCACGTAAAGGAGGCCAGAGGGGAAATGTAGCCCCGCCCCATGTCCCTCAGGGCTACACAGCTGACCGGGGGCATGACAGAGGCAGACTGTGGGGTGAGAACAGGGGCTTCAGCAAGAGAGAGGGAGGTGCGAGGAAGCTGTGCCCCATATTCTCAAACCTCAGCCCTGACCCTGACCTTCTTCCAGGTGCCGCTACCAACAGGCCCCAACTGAAAGTAAAAGAGAGTTTGAAACAATGTGTGGACAGTCACCCCCAGGACCACACTGGGCATGGTATTTAACAGCTTTGTGTGGAACGCTGGGTGACGGTATCTGGCAGCCGTTGTGAGGGTTAACTTAGCTGCTTTGTGCCCCAGGCTTACGAAATCTGGCACTTAGTGAGCACTCTATGAAGGCTGGCTATTGCTCTTTACAGTTTACAACTCACAGCGAAGGTCATGTGAACAGGAAGGAGCAGGGCGGGAGTCACCAGGCCTGGCGCAGCACTGGGGGCCCAGCCAGGACTCCAAGCGGCAGCATGCATCTCCTACCTGCCCTCAGAAGTGCTCCCATTTGGCTCCCCGTGCTGCTCCCTAGCATCTGCTTTCCTGGGGTCACGAGGCCCGTGTCCAGGCCCTCGCTCCTGTTCTCCAGCTAGCCCCTAAATCTAACACTTTGTTTTGAACTTGGTATTGACCTTCACCACTCATCTAGGACCTCAGTGCTCTGGTTGCAGATACCCAGGTCACAGACCAAAGGTTTCCCGTGCCCGTAGAATATAGTGATGGCTGGGGCCCCTCTTCCCTGCCCCCCCCCCCCCACCACAGGGACAGTAACTACGAAGCCTCTTCCAGCGCCCGTCAGCTTCCTCCCAGGCCAGGAGCAGCTTGCTGGGAGGCTTGGGTCGGGGTCCTGCCACTCAGTCCCACGAATACGGACATTCCCTTTCTGACTTCCCTGGAAGCATCCACCACGTACAGTCCCCGATGCCTTAGAACGTGATGGGTTCCTCACTTCCTATTCTGAGCACTTCCTCTGCACCACCTGGGCGGTGGGTGTCCCTGCCTATGGGGGGAAACCAGCTCTAACTTAGTGGATGCCCTGGGGGCTGGGAGGCCTCTGTGGGGTCACTGTGGGCCATCTCCCACTGGGCATCTTAATCTTTGGGCTTCATCTTATAACTGGGCCAATGGAGAGCAGGAAGTCAAATACGGGCCTCAGAACCCATGGAGACTTAACACAGGAATGCTGCATCCACAAGGTCCTTTGAGGAAGCCTCCCCTAGAGGGAGCCCATTCTGGGAGGAAGGCAGAGCGGGGCACAAGGCCAGAGACGCCCCAGCACTGTCTACAGCTGGGACACTGGGCTTCATCTCGGGAGAAAGGATGTGTGGAAAAGAAAGGTGAGGGTTTAAAGTCAGAGCGGCCCACGTCTAAACCCCAGCCCTGCTCCTTCCTGTGTGACTTTGGGCAGATGACTTCTGAGTCATCTCTGAAGTCAGCCTCTGAGCCTGTTTCCTTATGTCTACAAATTAAATAAAATGATAGTAAAACAACAACAACAACAACAACAACAACAATTTCCCCTTTAGAGCCAGTATCAGGAGACAGCTAATAATGGACGTGAAACCCCTGGCACATGGTAGGAGACCAGTCAATCCTGAGAGTTGGCCCTGAGTCACAGCCTCCCTATTGTCACTGTGACCCCTGCCCCCCACACTCTGGGGCCCCTGTGGACCTTCCACCTGCTCTTCATTCCCGTTGCTCTTGCCGGTGGCTCGGGGGCTGTTACCTGAGAGAACTGCCAGTGGAGCTTCATTCTCTTGGCTTTGGCGTAACTGCACTCGATGAGCCGTGGCCGACTGTTGACGTCCACCAGGCACCGGTTGTCATCGTCGTCGACCGTGGGGCTCAGGATGCCCACGTGGATCTGCTGACTGCTTGTGTAGTACACGTTCTGCAGGGTGGGGCAAGAACGTGGTTAAGTGTAATGACCGAAGAGATGGGGAGGGTCCAGGGGGGGCTTCTCCTTGGGTAGTTGGCAAAGGGAGCACAATCCAGTGGGCTTCACATGATTTTTCTATTGCAATGGACAAGAAGAAAGCCCTTTTACATCACGATCCGGGATAGTCACTGGTCCGCATGTATAACTGAGACAAAATTTTCAAGACACGAACCTTAGTCTCACCATATGCAACGCAATATGATATTTTCTATTCTATTCTTTCCCTGAAAAGCATTGGTCATAAATGTTTAAATTGATTTCACCATCCATAGTTTAAAAAAACATGGCTTGAATCCATTACTTGTAGGTTTGCTGACTTCCTCCCTCCATATATTTCATGTAAGACACTGTGCTTGGCCTGAAGATACAGAGCAAAAGACCTGTGCCAGGCTTGGGGAGTTGAGAGTCCTGTGTGATAGGAAACATGTAACTCATAATTTCCATCCAGACTAAGACTGTGTAGAGCAAGGGTCGGTTAACTTTTCCTTAAAGGGCCAGGTGGCAAATATTTTTGGCTCTGCAGTGTGTTGGGCGGTCCCTAAGGCCACTCCCAGATTTGATGATTCATTAGGACTCACAAGACTCTGCCCATATTTGTACTTACGGTTATGATTTCTTATAGCAAAAGGATACAAGTCCTATCAGCAAAGGGAAAAGGCACATAAGGGCAAAGTCTGGGGGAAACCAGGTGCCAACTTCCAAGAGTCTTCTCCTAGTGGTCACACAGGATGCGCTTAATTCCCCCAGCAAGGAACTGGGACAACACAGGTGGAATGTTACCCACGGGGAAAGCTCTTACAGACTCAGCTGGGTTTTTATCAGGGCTGGTCATGTAGGCAGCCTCTGCCTGGTACATACCAACATTCCAAACTCCCAGGGGCAAAGCAGGTGTTTAGCATAAACCGTATTTGTACAGTCTGGTCAGGCACAGTGAGCCACTCTTATACATCTGGGAATGGGGGGAACCCTTCTGAAATCCAAGTTCCCAGATGCCTGTCAAGGGCCAACATAGTAAGCAGGCCTTTCAAAGGACAGCAGTCAGGCCTGCTGCATTAACTCTTTCTTGCACAGAGGGCCATACAGTCTGAAAACTCAACTCTGCCATCGTAGCATGAACATAGCTAAACACAGTAAATGGATGGCTGTGTTCTGATAATACTTCATTTACAAAAATAAGGGCTGTGCATGGGCTGTAGTTTATTGGCCCTGGTCTAGAGGAAAGCCACATGACCTTTGACCTTGCTCTGAGTGACAAGTCTTAGGGTCTGTGAGCTTTTCTCTTCATATTACTAAAGAAATTAACACCCCCACTTATGATTAGGCCCCATGGGCAAATCGGGATACTCTATTTCTTTGCTTGAGGTTAGAGTTAGGGTGGGCCCTCTTATTATCTTCATACGTTAAAAAATTCTTACTGGTAAATATCTTTGATTCATTCCAAATGAGAAAATGAAGCATTTCTTGTTTTAGTAGAAGAGGGTGGTTGACAAGGACTTTTAAACACGAGTGCAAGACATAAAAGAGACGGTGGGGTGAAAAAGGCAGTGCAGGGAAGGAGGTAAGGGGTGGTCCTTGGGGGGCATGTTCTTCCTGGCCCTTCGTGGTCCAGGGAGGGCACGAAGAGGCAGGCAGTGTCACCCTTCAGACATAAGAAGAGCCTCAGGCCAGTGTACCAATGAAGGCCCCAACAGGAAACACATGGCTCACTCAAGGTAGTGGAATCCAAGGAAGGTGTAATAAAGGCACAATTCTCCATGGTGTGGGTAGAATGTGAGGGAACCACAGGGATTGTACAGTTCCCTGAGGATCATACCATGGAGCTGTTACCACGCCCACACCCAAGGGGATGACAGAAGATGGCAGTTAGGAGAATCTGTAAGAGAAAAGTTATGGAGAGAGGATTGACTTGCAAGAAGGCTTCAGGGTGGAAGGGGTTTGGGGGTAATGGTGAGCGGTGGTGAATAAACACCACAACTTTACTCTCCCCTCCACGCTCCATTCTTCTGCTAGATCGGCCCATTGGCAGCACCCAGCTGGAAGCCAAAGAGCGTGGGAGCCCATCGAAACATGCCATAAAGTCAGCCTCCTCAGGCAGAAGGAGAAGGGTGGAGAGTGGATCTGGAGAGACGAATAGGAGGCACTCAGATAATCTTATAAGTTACCAGATTTGGTGAATCCATGGAACTAGGCATTAACCTACCAAGATGACTGATTCTTCCCATAATAGAGGTGAAGAAGCATAGTGATCAAAATTCTGAGCCTAGGCCGAATGTGGAATGCTTAGCTTCAATGTAGAAAGGTGACTAGAACACAGAGGCAGAGGGGCCTATTCAACTCCTCTTGGGAGAGAATACGATGACCAGTGGGGCTTAGGAAGCTGAACGGACACGGTTAGGCATCTCATCCATCCATCCACCATCCATCCATCCACCCATCCAACAACAATCTCTAAGTTGAGATCTGAGGATAACAGTGATGAGAGAGCCATGGTCCCTGTCTTGGAGTATCCAACAGCCAAGTTGGGGAAACTAACATATCAGGAAATAATGGCTCTAACCACACTAATGTGAGCATTTTTTCGGCTTCCTCCACTGGCCTCTCCCGACTCTTGCTACTTTGAAAATAGAAATAAAAACTCGCCACCTCCAGAAAGGTTTCTGTGAATATGCAAAAGCCTGGGGCCTCAGCTTGCCACACAAGTCTCCCTCCAAAAAGCGCGGAGCGGTTTATGCCCTTGGGTGCAATGCACACGCTCTCTCCTCAGGACACAGTGCAGCGCTTAGTCACCCTGCTTGCCAGGACCCAGATTTCCTGAGGTTCAGGAGTGTGGGCTGCCTGACAAGGACCACCAGGAAGCCAGTTACGGCCACCCACCCCTCCCTTCATCCCTATCATCAGGGCCTGACTCTGGTCTCCAGGGCAGGCTCTCTAGACACAAGCGGCTGCCCAGGTAATAGCTGAAATCAGTTTTGTTCACTTAGCTTTTCGGAAGTGCTTGGGGGAGACTGAGAGCCTCGCGTGCACTTACTAGCTGGTACGGCTGTCGTTGGATCTGCGTATAGCTCCAGAGTTGGGGCAAATCCTAATAGGGACAGATAGTTGTTTGTTATTGAAAAGCAAACACCAAAGTGCATCTTGAGGGGAGTAAGCACGAAGCTGGCGATCAGAGAGAGATTCGGCAGAGGATGCTCTCCAGTTGTCCCTTGGATGCCTCAGAAGTCCAGCCGGCAGGGGACTGAATTGGTAAATGGCCTGAACTCAAAGGAGGGGACAACGTTTCCTGCAAGATGCCCCAAGTTTAGTACCAGGGGGGCTGGGCTTTCTGAGTCATGGGGAACCTGGAAGGTTTCAGCAAGAAATGACTTAGAACTGTGGTTCCCAGAGAGGGGCAGTTTTGCCAACCAGGGGGCATATGCAATGTCTGGAGACATCTATGGCTGTCACAATGGAGGGGAGGGACGCTGCTACTGGCGTCCAGAGGGGAGAGGTCAGGGACGCTTGCTGCTCAACCTCCTTCGATGTACAGCACAGCCCTTGCACCACAGCAAAGAATTTTCCAACTCCGGCTGCCCAAGGGTGCTGCTGTTGGCCCCTGCCTTAGGCGGCTAACAACAAAAGTTGTGATGTGTTCAGCTCCTACTCTGGGCCAGACACAAAGTGATGTACATGCCTTATCTCTACTGGATCCTAAAACAACTCTACGAGGCAGGGGCTGCAATGACCCCCATCTTGGAGATGGGGAAACTGAGGCACGAGACATGAGGTAAAAGTCTCACAGGTGGAGCAGCTGAGATTTACCCGGAGGCAGTTTGACTCCAGAGCCACACCTGTGACCTCTCACCTCACTCGCCTACTTCCCTTGGGTCGCTGCAGCACCAGCAGCCAGGCCAAGGGGTTGAGGCCAGGAGGCTGGCTTAGGAAGCTTCCCCGTGGTGATGCCCTTGAGCTCTGAGAAGGGCACTGGGACTAAGGAGGCAGCAGAGGGCTGGAGGGGCCTGTGCCAAAACACCTGTGATACAAGAAGGTGGGAAGTGGGAGGCAGCCGGAGCCTGCCTGGGGATGTTTTATAAGCCCCTGGGCGTTTGGGGGGGCATATAGAAAAGACACCCCGACCACTCGGCTCCTCCTCAGCTGCAGATGACTGACCTACCCATTTTCCACATGCTCCCATTCACCTCGGCAGGGCTACCAACTCATCTGGGTGCTTCATTCTGATGCTTGCAAGGAAAAGAGAAAAAGCCCCTGCAGGTGGCAGAACAAACGTGTCCGTGTCTTGGGGTTTACACCAGTGGAAGTCTCTATCTCAGGCCGAGAGCAGTCATGACGAGTAGCTGAGCGGGACAGGCAGCCGGGAAGCCCACGGTGCCCCTGGGTACACACTCCTGCCCTGGGTCACGCAAAGACCCCCAGGGTTGGAGGTGCCCTTGCTCTGTCACTTCATCTCCTGGATAAGCAAGCCCCCCCACCCCCGCAGGATGCAGTCGGACCCCTGGCCAGAGCCCTGCCGGTTGTCCTCAGTACCCCTTCTCTACCTGGCAGGTGTGGAGGTGGGACTGCCTCCGCCAGAGACTGGGTACAGCCTTCCACAAGATCTGCCCGTCACCCATATCTGATAGCACCACACAGACAGAAGCTGCCACAGGCCAGTAGAGCTGCCTCCGGAAGGGAAGGGGAGAAGAGAAGCAACACAGTTTCGTACACCTGTATGCTAGCTACTGTCCCTATCTGTGGCCACCTCCCAGTTGTAAGGATAAGGAAGCAGGCAGGGCGCCGGCCTGCCTCGTACAGGGCGGTGGGGGCAGAGAAGGAGCCGAGGCTTGCTTTATTCAATCTCAATTTAGAGTAGTGACTGTGACATCTGTAACGTGTGCTAGAAATGGGCTTTGTCCTCTTTACCAAGAATGAGCTGCTAGCCCTTCTGCAGATAGGGCAGGCTGATTTAAGTGTTTGGT